AGCAAGGAGTGCAGGCGTGCAAGGTGTGCAAGGCAGAGGAGCATTTGTGCCCATTGGGGGTTTGCACGGGGGTGTGGGGTGTGAAGTGCAACGCTTGGGGGGGGCTGTGTGTGTGCTGTGCGTGTGCGCGGTGGGTGTGCAAAGGGGGGCGTGTAGTGTTGGTGCAAGGGTCTTGCACGAGAGACCCTTGTGCAATGCAGTGGTGGCGTCCACGTGAAAGTTTTGCACGAGGGGTGCACGGTGGCGCGGTGTTGGTGCGAGGGTTTCGCACAGCGGGCGTGCAAATGGTGTGCAATCGTGCAAGGGGGGTGCAAATCCGTGCAATGGGTGCGCAGGGGAGCGTGCAGGGCTGGCGCAGTCGTGCAAGGCTCTTGCACGGGGCCTGGTGCCCCACCTTAGGCCCTGGGGCGGGCGTGGGTGCGGGTGTGGCGGGGTGGGGGCTCCATTCCCATGGCAACCGCCCCCGCCCCCGCCTTGCACACGCGTGTCCTGACGTGTGCGCAGGCGTGTGAGCTGCTGGCGTGCGGCGCGAGGCCGGAGCCGCCGGGGACACGCGTGGCCGAGGGGGGCGGAAGACGCACACGAGGACACGTGAGTGGGTGTGCAAGGCCTTGCACACGCGTGATCTCGCACATGCGTGTCCTTGCACGCGCGTGTTGGGGTCACGTGGGGCTGTGGGGGGGATGTGAGGGATGTGGGGGGAGGGAGCAGCAGGTCTGGGTGTCACCAAAGGCCACCAGGAAGGGATGTGGGCATCACGGTGTCCCCAGGAGCCCTTGGAGGACCCAGGTCCCAGTGTCCCTAAAACCTCTTGGAGGACCCAGGACCCCTTGGAGGACCCAGGACCCCTTGGAGGACCCCGGTCTTGGTGTCCCTAAAATCTCTTGGAGGACCCAGATCTCGGTGTTTCCACAACCCCTTGGAGGACCCAGGTCCCGGTGTCCTTAAAACCTCCTGGAGGACCCAGGACCCCTTGGAGGACCCAGGTCCCGGTGTCCCTAAACCTCTTGGAGGACCCAGGACCCCTTGAAGGATCCCGGTCTTGGTGTCTCCAGGACCCCTTGGAGGACCCAGAACCCCTTGGAGGACCCCAGATCTCGGTGTCCCCAGGACCCCTTGGAGGACCCAATCTTGGTGTCCCCAGGACCCCTTGGAGGACCCAGATCCCAGCATCCCTAAAACCTCTTGGAGGACCCAGATCCTGGTGTCCCTAAGACCCCTTGGAGAACCCAGGACCCCTTGGAGGACCCAGGTCCCAGTGTCCCTAAAACCTCTTGGAGGACCCAGGTCCCGCTCTCCCTAAAACCTCTTGGAGGACCCAGGACCCCTTGGAGGACCCAGATCCCAGTGTCCCTAAAACCCCTTGGAGGACCCAGAACCCCTTGGAGGACCCCAGATCTCGGTGTCCCCAGGACCCCTTGGAGGACCCAGATCCCAGCGTCCCTAAAACCTCTTGGAGGACCCAGATCCTGGTGTCCCTAAGACCCCTTGGAGGACCCAGATCCCAGTGTCCCTAAAACCCCTTGGAGGACCCAGGACCCCTAGGAGGACCCCAGATCTCGGTGTCCCCAGGACCCCTTGGAGGACCCAGGTTTCAGTGTTCCCAGGACCCCCTGGAGGACCCAGGACCCCTTGGAGGACCCAGGTCCCAGCTCCATGGGAAGGAGGCACCCAACACCCCCATGTCCCCAAGGGCCATCAGGAGGGGACCTGATCACCCACCCCGGT